AGCAGTTTCTCTCCATGCAAGTGCTTCAGGAATACGATTCTGGACTTGTTCTCTCTCCCCAGCACCTAGAACACACTGGAGTAAGCACTCAGGATTTCACTGACTGACTGAATATATAAACTTTTCAAGTGCTGGTTTAAACAAAATTAAGTAGATTTCTTTACAGCAAGACCCTCTGAGCCTGTAACATGGATTGTGAATCTCTGAGCATCTGCCATGCATTCATGTTCTTGAGAATGATACTGATGTCCAAACTAGGCTTTCTTTCTTTTTTTTTTTTTTTTTGGAGATATTTTTGCTATGGGGCACATGTGCTCACCAAAGAAACAGTAAGATAGAGAAAGTGAGAAATCACTCCCCAGGGAGGATGGCTACACCACAACCCTTTTGGATTTTGAGCACACATGCACACACATTACCCGCTGTGAGTCTCAAGCCACCAGGTCCGGGACCTGATCTGTGGTCGATCATGTGAAAACCCAGTGCCGTAATTAGTACACCACCTGCTGGCTCCCAAACTTGTCATTTTCAAGAAATGAGATTCAGTCTCACATACAACTAAAATTTACTTTAATACCTTTATTGACATATAATGATTGTACATACTTATGGGGATACAATAGGATTTTTCAGTACAAGAACACAATGTGTAATGATTAAATCCAGGTAATTAGTATAGCCATCATGTCAACCATTTGTCATTGCTTCGTGGTGCGAGCATTCAAAATCCTTTTTAGTTACTCTGAGACAATACAGTAAATTGCTGTTAACTATGTTTACCCTACTGTATTTTGTAACACTGGAAATTGTCTTATCCATCTGTAATTTTGTTACCATTAATCAACACCCCTCTACCCATTTTCCCCATCCTTCCCGGCCTCTAGTACTCATTCTTTAACTCTCCGTTTCTATGACGTCTTTTTTTATTTTTCATTTTCTACATGTGAATGAGAAATTCTCTGCCTGTGCTTCGCTTGTTTCATTTAATATAACATCCTCTGGGAGTAAAAGAATATTTATTTAATTTGTGATTATTATTATTATTTAAATTTTGCTATAGGGCACTTATGCACACCAGAGAGAGACAGAGAGAGAGAGAGAGAGAGAAAAGTCTCCAGGTCTGGGACTCAAACCATGGTTCGCCTGGTGGGAGCCCAGCACCTTAACCATTCACTATGCCACCTGCTGGCCCCTGAGCTTACTCATTTTACCTCAAAAAGATTTCATTATTTTGAGTGGAGTAGTGCAGTGTGTGTGTGTATGTGTGTGTGTGTGCGTGTATCACATTATTTTTGTCCATTTGTTTGTTGATAGACACTTAGGTTCATCCTATACCTTGGCTATTGTGAATAATACTGCATAGAACAAGGGACTGTAGATAACTCTGTAGGTACTGAGATCCTTTCCCTTGGTTATGTGCCTAGTGGGATTGCTGGATTGTATGACAATTCTATTTCTCATTTTTTAAGAATCTCCATATGTTTACCATAATGGCCATACTTACATTCCCACCAACAATGTAAACCACTCCCCTTTGTCCACATTCTTTCTAGTATTTGTTATTTTGTTTTTTAAGAATTTTTAAAATTATCATTATTTTTCTATTTTGACGAGAGAGAGAACGAGAGCAAACTGCCAGGTTCAAGACTTGAACCATGGCCAGCCACGTGGCAGTCCAGCACCTTTAACACCTTTAACCACCGTGCCACCTGTTGGCCCCAGTATTTGTTATTTTCTGTCTCTCTGATGATAATCATTCTAACTGGGGTAAGATGCTATCTCACTATGGTTTGTATTTGCATTGCTCTAATGATTAATGATGTTAAATATCTTTTCTTTCTTGTTCACCACTTTTCTTTCTGGTGCTTTCCACAGCCTGGAGTGCATATCTTCTTTTAAGAAATGTTTATCCAGATCATTTGCCCATTTTCAGTTGGGTTATTTGGATTTTGCTGCTGAGTTGTTAGAGTTCTTTATTTATTCTGTTAATCCCTTGTTGGCTGTCTGTTTGGCAGGTGCTTCCTCCCTTTTGGTGGGTTCATGTACGTGAGTTCTGATTGTTGACAGGCTTCCACATGACAGAGTCAGATATTGGTGTTTTTCATAGTTCTTTGTAATACTATGCTTGAAGGGGCTTTAGAAATTCTGTTCACTGGATGAATTTAGGCTATAAAAATTAAGTTGTTTGTGTTTGAAACTTTAGAGTGGATGATGATCACATGTTACCTTTCAGACACTAAAGATCCTGGGTTCTTTCTTTCCATGGAAGTAAGGCCTGTGGTTGTTTTCTGTGACAGACAACTCAGGAGGGCACGTACTTACTCCAGATGCCCAGTCCTCCTACTCTATCCTCCTTCCATAGGGTGGATTAGATACCAGACATTGTCGATTAAAAAACAATCAGATAGGCTCTGGATGATGATTTCTCCTATTTCTGTTCTAGGATTTTTGTTAGAGCCAGTCTGCATTCATTTTGTCCCTGTTCCTGCTCCAGGACCTCCTGGCCTTTCCACCTGGGTGGGATTTGCCGTTTGTCAATTCACGAGTGGCATTTCCCACAGAGTAGACTGGCCCTGTGTCATCCCTCTGGTGCCTCTTCTTTGAGCAGAGTTCACAATTACTGGGACATGGGAGGCTGTGAGTCCCCTCTGAGACCTGCATCCTGTATTCACCAATGGTCCCCATTGCCTGCTTGTGGAATGTGGAGTTCTAATTAGAATCTCAAAGCTCTTCATGTTATAGGGCGTGTCTGCTGCTAACCAGATGGTGCCTACACGTCCATAATGTCCAAATGGACAGTTCTGCCCATTGACTTCACTCTCACTGGCTGACTCCGCCTGAGGATCCTGGTTAATTCTTGATCACGTTTTATGTCAATCATGAAAACAGTTGTTTAGACATAGAAATTACTGTGGTGGGGTCTATTTACAGTCAAGATTTTGCAGATGGGTACCTTGATAAATGTGCTTTTATTTGCTGTTAACAATTTCTGTATGGTGACATTGCAAAAAAAGGAAAAGATGTAATTTACAGTTTCCAGTGAGAAGGCAGCAGTGGAGGGCAAAACATCAGTGTCCTCGTGACTCCGGCCAGGATTATTCTTGGATTGATTGGGGGTCAGCCATGCTAGCAGAGAAATGATGGGTTAAAGGAAGAGTTAGAAACCCCCTTTCCACAACCTGAAACCCAAACGAGAATATGGAAACCAGAACGCAGTTCTGCAGCCAAGATTTTCTACATTGAAATCCAGAGGCAAAGGGAAGGGCTGATGACAGGTTTCCTCAGGGGACAGCGGAGCTGCCAGAGCTGTGCTGAGAGCCTGTTAACCAGGCTCCCCAGGGCTGTGTGCTCATAGTGCTCCTGGGCAGAGGTCCAGACAACTCCCCTCAGCAGTTCTGCCCCACCAGGTGTGCGCACGGGCCTGGAAGCCTGCAAGGACTGTCCGAGGAAGTGGGCCACACTGTCCCTGTGGTGATGCCAAAGGCTGAGATAAAGGCAGACCTGGGCTTACAAGCATTGGACTTTGGATGACCCAGACAAAGCAGTGAGTGGCCGCCACCCCTCCCTCCCTGCCGGCCAGGCCTCCTCTAGCAACAAGACTCTTTTTGCCCAAGTCTTTCCCATCACTGTCATCCTGGTGTTCGAAGTCTGTTATGTCAGATTCACTGCTGCTCCCAGGAAACCCAGCCCTAATCCCATTGAATTGCTCCTGGGCTGTGTCCTTTTTAAAGCCACCAAAGGTCCCAGCTCTAGAGCCGTCTACTCAGATAGCCACTGCTCCTTCCCTTCCACCTATATCAGGGAACCCAGAGCTCAGCACCACAGAGCAGCTGCCAGTTCAAAGCTTAGGACAAACTGATGGCCAGGGTTCCTGGTAATACCATTCCAACCATGTTGTGGATTCAGTGGGCTTTGGGGAGCAGTGGGGAAATACTAACCGTCTTTAAGAGTCTTGAGGAATTTCTGGAGGGTTTCTAAGATTGACAGAGTGTTGTTCTTGGATTTTGCCTTGTTTCCAAAACATTAAGAGCCAACAGATTCAGAAAATACCCATCTGTGGGTCATGCTTATAAGCACACATGCATCTAAAATGGTAAACATTAAGCAGCAATGTGCCCCTAAGAGATAGAAGAAGACACGCGGTGACCACGGTGACTGAAACCAGCTGGGGTCAGCTGGGCAGTGTTTGGGATGGGAGGGCAGGGTGAGGGACCCCAGCCTGGCAGCCAGGAGTCGATTGACGGTGGTTCGAGTTAGAAGTGAGTAATTATAACGTGTTGGTTGTGTTTTATCTTTTTATCACTTCATTGCATGGGCTTCCTGCTCCTTGCTGACCTCCCCGACCTTGCCCCCTCTCCTGGATCACACATCCTGCTTTTGCTCATCTTCAGGAGGTAGAGCAGCTGCTTGCTCTGAGCCCTCGTGATGTTGGCAATAGCATGTGCTGCTCTATTTATTATCTTTCTAAAGACAGATAAGGCAGACGGGAAATGCTAATGGCAAACAGCACCGCTCATCCCCTGTGCTGTTCTGCAAAGCGTATTTTCTTATCAGGCTCAGGGAGGGCCCCCATAGGAAGCAGTGGCATGGCTGGGTGGCATAGGGACCAGTTAGTCAGGCTGCATTGTGTCGTTGCTGTCGACAAACACAGCAGACTATGTGCTAGATAGCTTGTTCGGGTTAGTTCCCAACGATGTCTTTATTCAGTTATTTTCAAAATTGCTTGTAAGGTCAGTTGCAGGGTATGACGTGTCACTGCTGGAAACAAAGTTTGTGATTGGATCTTCACACTCTGGATCCCTCTTTCTGAACCTCCTCTTCCCGTGAAGCAGGCTCTGCTGCTTTTCATTGGCATCTGAGCATAGCGACAAATAAGGTCCCATTTCTCAGATCACTGTGGAGGCTGAGACCAGGTCTGAAAAGAAGAATTTTCTTGTGAAACTATTAACTATAATCATTTTAAATTCCAAAAATAACACTTACCTTTCACAAAATTGCAGATTGCCGTATCCCTCAAATTGAAGATGCCGAGATTCACAACAAGACATACAGGCATGGGGATAAGTTAATCATCGCCTGTCATGAAGGATTCAAGATCCGTTACCCCAACCTGTACAACATGGTTTCATTATGTCGTGATGATGGGACGTGGGATAATCTCCCCATCTGTCAAGGTACGGGGACAGCAGCTAAGCTCCAGGCCGTTCTTCTCTCGGACTTCATCTGTACATATGTCTCAGGGAGTGAGGGAGAGATGGGGGAGGGAAGAGAACAAAGCTGCCCACCCCACGTGGATCTGGCTGTCTCTCACCAGTGATTGCCAAAGTTCTAGTCTCGTGGTTTCCATCAGCACTCCTGGCTGTCTGCTCAGCTCCAACGCCCCATTTTGAAGTATAAAGGGTCAGACATATTGGATGTCCCCTTTACTCTAAAGAACCAAAAGTAGCTTAGGAATGAGGAGACTTTGTAACCGGGCTGTGAACACAATGATGAACTATTATATATTTCATGGAAATAACAGGGCTTTTATTCTTATGTCAGTAGTGGTGAGATATAGTTAAAGCCAATCTTACAAAGGCTATTTTCTCTTAATAATATTATCCTTTTTTATAATGCATGAAGAGCAGACAAATAATCAAATTCAAATTTCATCCAAACCACACAGTGACTATTTATCCTCTTACATTTTTAAAATTTGCCTGGGCTCATGTAGAGGGCCCTGTTTGTGAAAATAAGCCCTCAAGTTCACATTAATTCTGATTTTATTTTTTGACATGTGACTTGGGCCAAAAGACCAAGAAACCAATGCATAATTCATGATTTGAAGGAGGAAAGCAATCTCATTTGCTCCAACAACACTGGCAAGTTAAAGTTGCGACAATGATTAACTCTGTGCTTAGAAATCACAACTGGCAGACTCTGATATTGCTTCCCATGGTCCATCGTCAGAAATAAATCATTTCTGTACGTGAGAGCGTAGAGGTCATGACCCCTTGAAGGAACAAAGGCTTCAGGATGAGAAGGACAGCGCAGCCCAGACCATCAGAGTCCCAGCCTTCCTGTACAGAAACTGCCTGTGCTGTCTGGCATGTTCCATATTGCAATTTTAAAGGAGACGCATGATTTCTTTACGTCTTCAGAGACTGTCTACAAAATAAGCAGCTGACTCTCAGCTTGGGCTACTTGTTCAAATAAACCCTCATAACTGCTGATTTGTTTCAGTCCTCCAGCCTGACCAGAGTAATGGTGAAAAAAATCATCTCAGACTCTAGCTGCTGCTTGCCTTCGTATTTTCCATGTATCTTTTTCTTTTCCTATCCTTCTGTGACACTTAAATATAGTATGCCTCTTTTTTAAAATTAACTTATTAGTATTTTAAATTTTGCTATTGGGTACATATGCTCACCAGAGAGAGACAGACAGAGAGAGAGGAAGAGTGAGAAAGCAAGCAGCAAGGTTCAGGACTTGAATCATAGTTAGCCATGTAGGAGTCCAGTGCCTTAACCACTTGCTGGCCCCTCTTTGTTTTTATATCTATTTTCTATGAGTCAGAGAGAAAGATGTAGGAGTCCAGTGCCTTAACCACCACACTTGCTGACCCCTCTTTGTTTTTATATCTATTTTCTTTCTATGAGTCAGAGAGAAAGAGAAAGAGTGAGAGAGACAGAGAGACAGCACTTCCAACAAGGTCTTGATGGCATGAGGCAACCCCAACCTTAGCCAGCTCTGAATCATGGGCACCTGAATACCCAGCATCCTCAGGGAGGTCTTTGGATGTGAACCTGGAACCTTGCCATATGGACCAGCCTTGTAAAGCATCACGTTTTACTGCTGCACCACCATCTGGCCCTGGTTTTCTTCTTTAGGAATTCTTTTTTCTTAGATGATTTAAAAATATATATCTCATAGGGCCAGCAGATGGCACAGAGATTAAGATGGCTGGATCCTACATGGCCAATAGCTCTGTTCAGGACCCAGACACAGTAGCTTGGAAAACACACCAAGCACATGTGTGTGCATGTCCAAAATCCAGAGAAGAGAATGGAGAAAGGATTATGGCATGGCCATCCCCCTGGGGGCGGGAGGGGAGGTGCTTTCTCACTTCCTTCTCTCCCTCTCTGCCTCTGTCTGTTTTCAGTGAGCACATGTGCCCTATAGCAAAAAATATATATATTTTGTATTACATATATAAGTTCATTGAGAAACTCATGATGTATTTTTCCATGTTTTCCTATGAAAAAATGCATCATGACTTTCCCAATGACATTATATATATATGATTATTATATATTTACATCTTCAGAGACTGTACAAAATAAGCAGCTGGCTCTCAGGTTGGGCTACTTGTTCAAATAAACTTTGGTAACTGCTGATGTGTTCCAGTCAAGAAACCTCTTCCAAAAGGTAAACCACCAATTTATACATCCCATGGTGGTATACCTTCTGGAAGAGCTCAGACACAGGTTTTCCCATTGCTCTGTCTGGCCATTCAAATCCCAGTCAAGACAGCTTCCCTAGGTCTGCAATGATAGAGTTGGCTGGCTACTCTTAAGAGGTGCGCTTTTTCAGAGCCAGCAGGTGGCACAGTGGTTAAGGCACTGGACGCCCACATGACCAACTATAGTCCTGGACCTGGCAGTTTGAAACTCACGCCAGGTGCATGTGCATGCATGCCCAAAATTCTGAGAGGAGAATGGAAGAGAAGGGATTGCAGCATGACCATCCCCCCAGGGGGTGATTTCTTACTTTCTGTCTCTCTGGCAAGCACATGCACCCTATAGCAAAAAAATCTCTCAAGCAACCATGCAAATGCCAGCTCCACTTTTGTTCCTCCTTAGCCATCTGTCCCACAGAGGAGGGCCCTGGCCTTTATCCACCTGCATCTCCAGCATAGGCAGGAGGGAGTCTTGATCCAGCTGCTAGCTGGCTACCTAGCACACCATAGGGAGTGAGGAATTGAGGCTGCCTTAGACAGTTCAACACCTCTCCAAGCCCCTAGAGGGATTATAATTGGCCCTTCGAGTGACATTTCATTCTGTAACTTTTATTTGCACCTATAGATCCAGGGACTAAAGCCTGAAGAACCTTTCTCTATTATCTAGAAGTGCAAATGGAAATTACATTGAACTATTGAGTTGAAGCCAGTATTCTACTGTTAAATTTAGGACAGGCTGTCTCCAACCAAGAGTGAGCATATCTTTCCTTCTCCCCTGATTCACTGCATGGATTATAACCCCTGCCATATCTTTTGGGGGATGGAGGCAGGGAGCTGTTCCAAGGCCATTTTTATGTGGAGATTATACGTTTTGGAGAGCAACATGCAGATGCCTCCTGGTCAGTATGGGTCAGTGTTAGTTTTTATTTGGGAGAAACCATCTTATCTGTGTGGGTGGCTCAGAGGGTAACTTCTTCCTAGGAGGAGGGGCAGGACAGTCATTTGTGGCAAGATTTGAGGTATGCTTACAGAGTCGAGTGTTCTCATTTGTTCATGTTAATAGGCTTACTTTTTCTTTCCCAATTACTGACTTCATGTATTCCTAATTCTCTTACACTTTTCCCAGAACATTGTCAGTTTTTAGCTCAGGAAAAAGAAAAGAAAATCTAACATCGTGGGATTGTCTAAAGAGACGGATGGACTCCACACCTTTTCAGATATGGTCCCTCCCAAACATTGGCCAGATCCGGGCAGTAGCCTACAGAGTATGCAGAGCTCTGTGGCCCCGGCAGCTTAGGTTCTGCCCTGCATACCTCAGGAGCGAGCACCTCTTCAAATTCTGTACTATGGGGACTTCGGTCATCTACATTTCACTCACTCTGATGCACAAATACTATTCAGTGGGTTGTCGGCTGAAATAACATGCAGAGATCTCCCAAAGCCCTCTGCAATATCTAACCAAGTCAGCCTAGGAGAAGGGTCCATGCACATATACAGACCATCTGTATTTGGCGACTGCAAGGGAAGTAAGGATTTTCATTATATACGTTACTTACTTCACACACAATTCTCCCCTGGAAAACACCAGCCCCTCAGTGTCATTTTTCCCTCCAGGGAAACTGCTGAAGCCAATCAGAGTTTCCATGACTATAGTGGATGCCACATACAGCAGGATTCTGTGCCATGGGTAATGTTCTGCTGGGCTACACAGGCTTCAAGACAGAAAGGCAGCTCATGAGTTTTATAGTTATTTATCTATTCCAAGAGAGGGAGATACACAGAGAGAGAGAAAGAGAGAGAGAGAGAGAAACCACAACAGAGCCTTCACAATGCAGTCCCCCTCCCCAGGCCCAGCCAGTCTGGATCATGGGCACATGTGTCCAGCATGTACAAGGAGATTTCAGAATATGAACCCAGGACCCTTGTGGGCTCAGTCACACCACCTCCATGCCACCGTCTGGCCCAGCAGCCAATGCTGAACAGAGGAGGAACCTGGGATTCAAGTACCACTTCATTCTGATAGCACACAGAACTCTGTGCTGGATGCACAGTCTCACTGTGGAATGGGCTCCGTGTGTACCTCCCAGTCCAGCAGCACAGGCGTCTAGAACACCACAGTGCCAATCTTTAGGCTCCATCCAGACCACTGAGACTGAAGCTCTGGAGGTGGGCCCAGCTGTCTGTGTTCTGATAAGCCCGCCGAGTCATTCTCGAGTTTAAGAACCACCTCACTACAGAGTTCCCATCTACCTTACAGGAAACACAACTGGATTCTCAAAAGTTAATGGCATCTCCCCAGACAGGTGTTGTACCATAGTCTGCTACAGTGGGACTGAGTTTGAAGCATAACTGTTTCAAGTCACTCAACTCCACCACGGAAACAATTGGCGTCTCTGTCCTCTTATGGCACCCCAGTGGTTCTCAACTTGCCAACGTAGTAGGATCACATGGGGAGATCTTAAAGAAGATGGTGGTCCCACATCTCCCCAGACACTGAGCATGGGGCCTGGTCACTGGTGTTTTGTAAAAGCTCAGGTGATATCAACTAGCTGTCTGGGCCAGAACCACCAGGTATAGCTGTGCCAAGCCAGAGGCAGACTCGCCCTCCCTCCCTCCCCTCCTCTTAACTACTCATCTGACCCTTTTGGTGCCATTTGCAAATATGGGGGGAGTCTTCAAAAAGTTCATGGAAAATTCCTATTCTAAAACTACATAGATTTCAAAATATTTTGCATTTAAATAAACTTGTACTTCAATTCTGTTTTTCATGAACTTGTTGAAGTCCCCTTGTTATAAAAGCAATTCTTTTCATTAAAAATAGAATAGGTAAATAGAATAATGAATCCAAGCTTCCTTCTTCAGAGGCAAGGCCATTTTTCCAGTGGAGGGATCCTACAGCGTTCTGGTGTTCTGTTTACCTTTTCGATGTAGAAAGATGACCGAGTGAAGCCTCTTCCTCTTTCTCTCCCATTTCGCAGGCTGCCTGAGACCCCTAGCCTCTTCTAATGGCTATGTGAACATCTCCGAGTTCCAGACCTCCTTCCCAGTGGGGACTGTGATCTCCTACCGCTGCTTCCCTGGATTTAAACTCGAGGGGTCCGAGTATCTCGAGTGCTTACACAACCTTATCTGGTCGTCCAGCCCACCCCGGTGCCTTGCTTTGGAAGGTAACACATCTTATTCTTTTGGAAAACAAGTTTTGGATGATCAAAGTAGGTGCTTCAGTAGGAGGCAAAGAGCTACGAATGGCCAACAATGACTTTTATTTCCTGAGTATAATTTCCTTGCCTTTCATTTGCCATGAAGCCATCCTTACACCTAGATGTAAAACACGCTTCTCCCATCCTTAGGCTTAAAGGAGAGATGAGTGGAGAAGAGACAAAGCTGCATGTATCAAAGGTCAAACTGCAAAATATTGCAAAGTTAAATGAAATGTCTTCAAAAATTAATTTTCCTTGCACCAAATGAAAACAGATTGTATTATGGCATCATTAATCTCATCCCTCGTTTTATTGTTGTGTCAATGTTTCTTCCATATTTCCATGCATTTTATTGCTTAGTTGTAAATGTTTTGCTGCAAGTATACCCTTGGAAGTCTGCAAGCAAGAGCTCTCTCCTCTCTGTTTTTATTAAGTTCAGATGATCATAGAGCATGGGTCACAGAACATCATTAATCACTAGTATGAGTAGTGAGGGGGACAGGACATCCATTGCCAGAATCAGGGCAGTGTCTGTGGGGTACAGTCCATAAAATCTTCTGCTAGGCAGTTGGACATGCTGTCTCATCCCTGGCTTTAACTCAGGCCCTGAGACTGTGCCCAAAGAGAACACAGAGAACATAATGTATTTGTTAGCATCTAAATACAGTGCGTGGGAGGGAGGGTCTATATGGAGAAATAAAACAAGAAAAGAAAACCTCCAGACCAGAGCCTCTCCAAAGGCTGTTTATAGTCTTGTTTGGGAAACAAAGGAAGAAATAATAGATGGTATCAATAGAAACAAACGTATTCTTCCATGTTGACTGCATTTCTACACCGAGCACCTCAGTGTAGAAGGCAGTCAGGGTAGGAAGTGTTTTCACTGGGATGACCATGGAGGGGAACCAGAGGAGGGGTTTCTAAAGGAAAGATGTGACTGGAAGGAGGGTGGTTGGAGCCATGGGACCTCCTTGGAGGAGAGAGAGGGATGAGATGGAAGGGCAAGGGCAAGAGCAAGCCCAGCTTGGACCATCCCCGTGGTCACTGCCTGTGCTGGCCTCCAGAGGCCCCACTCACCCCCACTTTCTACCTTTTCCAAGCCCAGGAGTAGATATCAGATAAAACTCAGGTAAGAATTTCAGATACCAAACAATAATTTTTTAATATGAGCATGTCCTAATCATCACATGGGACTGAAGTATGGTAAAAAAATTATTCTTTAGTTATCTGAAATTCAAATGTAACTGAGCGTCTTATATTTCAGTGTGCTAAATCTGGCAATCGAGCCTCAAGTGACAAGGTCATCCCCTTTGTGTCTAGTGACACAGCCTTTCTGCTATCTGGACATAGGCAGGTAGGCTGAACTGAGACCACCTGGCCACATGTGAAAGGGGGCTCGTTCCTCTTTTCTGGAGGTTTCTTCCTGATCTGATCATCAGAAATAGAGGGTCGTTGAAAGATAGCATTGCTATGGCTTTATCTATTTGAAATGCCTATTTTTACATCTTTTCAAATTTGTTTTAAATGCATTTCATGCAGTCAGGTTCTGATAAGCTTCATTGTGGGACTTGAAAAGCAGTTTTCATGGAGCCTAGAGAATAAGGTATGGAGAGACATAAAACAAAATCTAACTTCAAGAGGTAACAATCCAAGGCTATAAAACAGGGAGCTGTGAGTGGTTTGGGGTTGAAAAAGGAGTCTCCCAGCTTAATCTGTGTCTTTTCCTCTGCCTGCCTCAGCTGTGGCTGAGGACGGAAGCTGAAAACCCTGGCTGACAGCTGCCTGTGCCCAAAAGACCATTAATATCTTTTCTCCCTTAATTTTTTTTTTTTTAAAAAACAGTAACACTTAGATTTTTATTCTGAATACACTTCTCTTTAAGTTATCTCATGAATTATTGGGTCGTCGGAAAAGTCGTGATGTCATTTTTGCATAGAAAAATACGTCATGTCTTTTCCGATGACCCAATAGTTTGGAGGCCCTTTAAATGTAACACCAGCTAAAGCCACAAAAGCCGTGATTCTAAACTGAGAGACGCAGAGTGGACTGAAGGATTGTTTTTCTCAAGACTTGATAGAAATTGGGTTAAATGAAGCAATGGACTAAAGTAAGAGGTAAGGATTTCTGAAAAAGTTGTCTGGATGTACCTAGGTTTACCTAGCCTTTCTTTAATAGCTACTCTAGGACTGGCCCCACGGCCTCATGGTTAAGGAAACTGGACCCCACATGGACAACCGTGGTTTGGATCCCACATAGCCAACCACAGATTGAATCCCCACCCTGGTGGCTCATGTGGGAGCATGTGTGTGCATCCCCAAAATCTTGACAGTTGGAGAGATGGAAGAGAAGTGTGCCCACACTCCATGTGTAGGGGTGGGTACTTCCTCCCCACCCCCTGCACCCTATCTCTCTCTGTCAATATACATACCCTCTGGAAATTAATTTAAAAAGAAAGTTACTTTATTTGTATATCATATCTTTAAGAGTCAGTGCCTTGTTTGTGCAACAGTGCTATGGGGTAGTCAGCACAGATATACTGTCCCAAGGGAATCTTCTCTTTTGCTGTATCACTCACGCTTCTCTCCTCTCAATTCCCTGTTTTCCTATCTTCCTAAACACACAATTTGAGCAATTTGATTTTTCTTGATGGCACCGTGAACATTATGGCATTGTGCTGTAGGACCATGCTACGCTGGGGATCGGACCCCACAGTGACTGGGTATGCACAGTTGAGCTGTGGAAGTCTTTTCCTGTTAGCTTTTGGTTCCTGTCCCTTCCCTCTCTCCCTGTTTTATCTCTCAGCTGTCAGGGTACCTGTCATTCTCAGGGACCTGTCCCTGCAGCTCTCCTCCTGTGTACTGCCCCCAACCCCATCTCTTTTTCCAGCCTGCTATGAGCCGGAAGAGAGGATCGCAAAGTTGATCGTGGGGCAGTGCAGTTGATTGATGAGGTGTGCAGGTGACCCCAGACCGGCTGGCTTCACTCCCCCAGGGAAAGTCACCCTATTCTCTGTCAGCCTCCATTTCTTCATCTGTAAACAAGGGTGGTGATCATACTTACCTTGTACGACTGAGAATTCAGTATGATCACAAGTCCAACACATTTAGTGAAGTGCCCAGCATACAGTAAGGGATCAAGCTAGTGTCCATCATTATTAAAGCTCTCAGAGGTGTATATAAAGTCTCATAAATAACTCAGGGTAAGGGATAAAGTGTCTAGGCTTGTAGGAGGTACACTGTGTCATTATTTTGGTGGTTCAGTCCTCTTTTGGTTATGTGCATAGTCTTAGCTATGTTCCGATTAGTGGATCTTGGATAATGGGAGGAAAATACCAAACAATAAAAATAGTTCCTATCAAGGCCAGTAGATGGTATAGCGGTTATGTCGCTGGAGTCCCACATGGCTGGCTGTAGGTTGAGTCCCAGTGGCTTAAAAGTCATGCTAGGCACGTGTGTGTGTGTGCCCAAGATCCCAGGAGAATGGAGGAGAAGGGATTATGGCATGGCCATTCTCCCTGGGGGTGATTTCTCATTTTCCCTTCCACTGTCTCTGTTTCTTTCTCTCTCTCTCCAGCAAGTACACATGCCCTAAGACAAAAACCTCTAAGAAAAGAAAAAAGTCCCTATTAGTGTTGCTTACTACATGTTTGTCAGGCTTTTTACCAAAATATTTGATGCAGTATCTCAGTTAATCCTTATGATACTTTTGGGGCTGGTAGTACTACCACTAACCCCATCTTACTGATGAGTAAATGTCGGCATTACCTGCCAATTTAGCAGGGAAAATGACCTGACAATTTTACAGTTATTTCTTAACAAATCAAAACATTTCAAAGAATTTTGCATAGGAAGAAATTTGCCTTTTTGGTCTAGTTATCCGCCCGGGGAAACCCCAGTGCAGGGGACCATGAGTGCAGAGGGAGGCTCTGTTGCCCACTTGGTGACTGTGAGCTCTTACTGCTGCCACCTGACAGTTCCCATTGTTCCCCTGGAGCCTCACCCTGGCCACTGAGCCAGGCTGAGACTGATGAGGACACTGACACCTCGAAGCATGATGTGACTCGGCCAGACCCTTCCACCCTCGATGCAGGATTCTTTCTGCCACAGGTGCCTGCTCTCCCTAGGAGAATGGACAGTGCTTTGCGAGAGCCAGCATTTGAGTGACAGCTGTCACACTCACATGTAAATCATCTCATCACTGATGTCTGGCTTTATGAAGGAGTAGGTAGTTCAGTAGAGAAGCTCTGGTCATTTCATCAAAGCTGGCAAGAGTTCCAAGGCCCGGGATGAAGGTGTGGGTCATGCGTTTGGATGCCTGAACCATTGCACTTGTCTTACTGAGGGTGAGATAGATTCTAGAGCATATGTATTTCTCCATAGCTGTGTTGTGGGATAAAGCCTCCGAAATTGCAAAGCCATGAACCAGAATGAGGGGTATTATATTTTTAAACAGATGATTATGTATGACTGAGCCTGGAAGGAGCTGTGTGAGTTCTGACGTGTCAGCCCGCCTTGCTATGTATGGGTCTGTGTGTTTTTCTCATCTGTGTGTGTCTTAGTGCTTTCTATTCTCAGCCCCCCTTCATCTCTGAGGCTCTCATCCCTGTCCCTCTTACACACACACACACACACTCACACACACTGAATGGAGGAAATCTTTAAAAACAAAACAAAACAAAAAACCTTTGCCCATGAACGTGGGCCATTTCTCATTCATAAGTGCTAAGAACTCGGTTTACATTGTCAGCAGTGTTTATTGAGCACCTGCTAGGCCCAGAGCAACACTGAATCTGGCTCTGGGGAGTTGCAAAGAAAGAAAAGGACACAATTCCTTACTTTTAAGAGTTTACAGTCTACTGGAGAGAAAAGATGACAATGCCATTACTTAGAGAATAGATCATTGCAGATGGCATCCACGTACATACACAGTTCCCTGGTCAAGGGGCACACGAGTTCCTCTGCATCTGAAAA